AATAATAACCTTGTGTATTACACCACTTGCATCATTACTGTATCATCACACCAGTAATAATAACCTTGTGTATTACACCACTTGCATCATTACTCTACTTTATCATCACATCAGTAATAATAACCTTCTGTATTACACCACCCAACCAAAACTCAATCCTTTCAATTATATAACCTCCTGCCCCTACAGAGGCAATATTCCCCAGTTTTCTGGAAGTCCAAGTATACTAAGTCCACTGTATTACCCATATATAAATTAAACATAACATTTTCAAAGAGAGTTAGCAAATTCCTGTAATGTGACCTTTACTTTCTGTGTCCATGCTGACTATCTCTGATAACGTAAACTTTTGTAGAATGTCTTTAATATTGAACTTACATAATCTTGTAAGAAGTGAAAAAAAGTCTTAATGAACAGTAATTACTTGGATGTTTATATATATATATATATATATCTTTCTTTGAAGTTCTATTTTGAGATATTCACAAAGTCATTCAGTATTTTTTTTACTTAGTATTTTACATTATTGTAACATAATTAACAATCTTTCACATGTTTTTCAATGTTTCAGAAGCAATAAACTGCTTACCAGAAAGTAAATGTTTTACAATGAATCCTCAAAACTTAGAAATAACTTGCATTGGTATTTATAAGATAGTTTTTTCCACAAATATTTTTTTCAATATAATATATTATTAACATCATATAAAACTTGTTGCATGGGTGCTTACGTTACTACATCACAAAGCTTATAGCTTGTAAGAAGTTTTGTTCATGCTAATTAGTTTTAGAATTTCTGGAGGAGTGAATCATCATAACTGAATTGGTATAACACTGCTTACTGTCAAGTCATGTTGAAATCAATAAAGGTGTGAACCTAATTTCCAGGAAATTAAGATTACTTCTTTTGGGAATTTAAGTATTTTAGTTTTGGAAAAATGAAGGTGCTTTGTGGTCTGAGACTTGAAATGCATAGTAGTGTTAGATTTGATATTTTTGTTATTGTATGTGAATGATGAAATTCAGCATGCTAAGATTAGATATGATAATATTTTACAATGAATCAAAATTCTGTTTTCTTGGAAATTTAAAGGCTTTATGTTTAAAATATCTTATTTTTGTTGTGTACAGTTTTGCAGTAAACATTTTTTTCACAATATATCAATTAGTGAAAAAAACAAAAAAATTATAATATTGCCTCTATATTTAACTTACCTTTTTTTGGTTTAACTTTGATAATAAATAATAAAACATTTTATACATTTGTAGGAGACTATGATACCTTGTGCGATGTTTCACCTGCGATAAATGAGTGTGACTTGAATTCTGCTCTCTGCAAAAATGGAAGATGTATTGATACCGAGAAATCGTACAAATGCGAATGTTTTGAAGGTTTTCGATTAGTTAACAATCAAAAGAAATGTGAAGGTAAGTTGTTACAAAGGTATTTTTCAAATCCTATTCTTTAAAAAATTTACTACCTTTTATCATTAATATATTTTGATCAGTAGCTAAGATTTCCAAATCTGCCAAGTACCTGCCATTTAACAACTTTTCCTAATTATGGAAAACACAAAAGTAGTAAGAATAACTATTCTTGGGAAATTCCTGTCTTCCAAGTAATAATTAGCCCGATGATGTTATAAAGATTATCATGCTGTGCAGTAGCATCTGACAGCAATTTATAGTTCCAGCAGTAGCCTAGTTGGACTAGCCATTGGATTTACTTCACACTTGTTTCGGTTTATTATCGAAGTATCTTTAATCCTCATTTCTGTTTCATTACTGACTCTCCCAGTGATTTCTGTAGTCACTATTTGATCATAGATGGGAAATACATGTTGTACAACACTGGTCAGTTATAATGCTATTTGTATACTTGTAGAGGCACTAAATTGTCAGTCTGATGTAAGAGCTCTTGCACTTAAAGTTCTGGTATTAGTAGATCACGTTAAAGCAGCAAGTTTCTTGAGGGTTTAAAGTACATCAGTTTAATTTTCAGATAAACCTTCCAATCCATATTTTGGTGATTACCAATGAGCTTTAATTACATCAATTAGTGTAATGTAAAGTAATGGATTAATTAATTGTGATTATGTTGTTTAGTGTCATGAAAATAATCAATTAGTTTTTCTGATAGTTGTTGGTTTTAATTATTCCAATTACCCAGTAATCATAATTATGATTAAATTGTTTAATGTTACAGAACTAATCAACTAATTGAAATTAGTTTATCCAGTTGTTACTGCTTTTGATTATTATAGCTATCCATTAATTGAAATTAGGATTAAATTCATTACTGTCATGAAAATAATCAACTAATATAAATTAGTGTTTCTCTTTATTACTCTTCTCCTTTATTCAAACTATTCACTAATTGACATATTACCATTATGATTTATCATTATTACTTTCAATCAATCCAGGTTTATTTAACTTGCATTATGATTAAGTTAGTAAAGAATAAACAAACGAACTGTATTAAATATGAAAAAGAATAAAATAAATACTGGTAAATGCAGAATAAATTAAGATCAATTTAACAGAGAATAAAATAAAGATTAGCTATAAAAATCAGCAGAAGTGAAAAGATGGACAAGACTTTTTGAGCAAATCTTGGCTCTTGTAGATGTAAGTCTACTGTCCTTATGCATTGAAAAGAATTGGTCCAAAACCGGAAACATAGAGCACATTTTATCTGTAGCTGACCATTCAGAAGAAAAGCGATAATATGAATCCATAAGTATCTCTGCTCCATTTGACAGGTATATAGCAGTTTCTCTATACACAAGGTAAAGTAGAATACAACTATCCCTTGGCCGGACCTGCTTCAGAAAGTAGCATGACAGGCTGAATTTATTACATGACTTCATCTGGATTTAGGATGTTCCAAATCAGAACTGTATATTAATCTGAATATTTTGTAGATAAGAAATATACATACCATAAAAGAGTAAAATATGTAGTATTTGAAAATTACAGCAGTAGACTGAGAGAGAGGTATATTATGACGACTTGCAGTGAGCTAGGAATCGTAAATTATTAGATAGATATGCTGTCATGATTTAATTTCTAGTAAAATAATAGTCGTAGATGTGCTGTCATGATTTAATTTCCAGTAAAATAATAGTCGTAGATGTGCTGTCATGATTTAATTTCCAGTAAAATAATAGTCATAGATGTGCTGTCATGATTTCATTTACAATAAAATAATAGTCGTAAATGTGCTGTCATGAGTTCATTTCCAATAAAATAATAGTCATAGGTATACTGTCATGATTTCATTTCCAATAAGATAATAGTCGTAAATATGCTGTCATGATTTAATTTCCAATAAAATAATAGTTGTAGATATGCTGTCATGATTTCATTTCCAATAAAATAATAGTCATAGATGTGCTGTCATGATTTCATTTCTAATAAAATAATAGTCGTAAATATGCTGTCATGATTTCATTTCCAATGAAATAATAGTCATAGATGTGCTGCCATGATTTCATTTGCAGTAAAATAATAGTCGTAAATATGCTGTCATGACCTTATTTGCAAAACTTATGAAAACACATTATTGAATGTACAATTCTGATGTTATTTTTGTTTAGATATAAATGAATGCAAGAATAAAAACATCTGTCAGAGAGGACAGTGTGTTAACACACAAGGAAGTTTCCAGTGTATATGTCCAAGTGGGTACTTCCTCACAGCTGATGGTCAAGACTGTACTGGTATGTGTCCTCTTCGAAAAATTTTAATATATTAGATATATTTATAGTTGGCTGTAAAATATAGTACTGAGTTGTGGCTTTTTAAAAATATTGCTTAGAAGTGAGTATAATAAGTAGTTTAAGTGATGGTACGTATATATACACACACATACAGATAGAAACTTGTTTTAAAATGTGAATAGTGAGATAATAGGCTTAACAGTTAAAGGTGAAGCCTGTACAGGTATATGTTTGTGCCTTTCTTAAGCTGCTTGATTAAACTAGCACTTAAGTGTTTACAAACTGTAATTACTAGTTGGATAAGTGTAAGTTACACTATACAAACCCCCATATAGTACATTTTTCTGTCACCTAAATGTACTGGTGAGGGGCTAATACTTCCAGAAAGTGCATTTTTTTGCTACTTACTTCAAGGTAACTAATGAGTTTTTTGATTGCAATCAATAAATATTACAGATATGAATCATTACATTAATTTAAAACTTCATTCTGTTACCAACATATTTTTAGCCAAGTTTTTGTGGTCCAGTTTTCAAAAATTACATAGTAATTCATTCTTTATTATAGAATATACTGTTAATTTCACCTTACATGATTAAAAACCGGTTATTCTTTGGTACATTCCTTGTATAGTAGCCATTACTCGTTGTTTGTGATTTCTGTATGTGTATCATCTGTGTGTTTTTATAATTACTTCCATTATTGTATATACTTTCACGTATATAGGTATTTAAATTCTTAACTTTTTCTCTCTCTCTTATGCCCAGATATGGATGAATGTGCAACTAAGGGTATGTGTGCAAACGGAGTATGTTTAAACATTGATGGTTCATTCACGTGTCAGTGTAATGAAGGATATGTGCTAGCTCATCTAGGACATGTCTGTATTGGTAAGTTAAAATTTAAAAAAAAATTTTCAATATTTCCTTGAGTTATTGTTTTTTTAGTACAATTCATTATGGTATTTGATCTTTCATTCATGTATTTATTATTTCTGGCGTATTCACTTCGTGTATTTATTATTTCAGGTGTATTCACTTCGTGTATTTATTATTTCAGGCGTATTCACTTCGTGTATTTATTATTTCAGGCGTATTCACTTCGTGTATTTATTATTTCACTATATTGAGCTCACTGCAGATAAATAGATCTTGTTCATAACATCGATGTTCTTACCATAAAAAGTTTCATGTTTGTTCTGTTTTCTCAATTAAGATTACATAAGTATAGTTGATTAACAGTATGTAAATTCTTTCCTCATTTTCTGTAAATATTTTAGGTTTTCAGATCCCAACTTTGTTCTGGTTAAACCCATCTATCTTATTGTTCCTCACTAATCCATAGGTTAAACGAGAATAACCTTGATTAAACATAAGGTTTTCATATCCCAACTTGTTCTGGTTAAACCCATCTATCTTATTGTTCCTCACTAATCCATAGGTTAAACGAAAATAACCTTGATTAAACATAAAGTTTTCAGATCCCAACTTTGTTCTGATTAAACCCATCTATCTTATTGTTCCTCACTAATCCATAGGTTAAACGAAAATAACCTTGATTAAACATAAAGTTTTCAGATCCCAACTTTGTTCTGATTAAACCCATCTATCTTATTGTTCCTCACTAATCCATAGGTTAAACGAAAATAACCTTGATTAAACATAAAGTTTTCAGATCC